TCATTTTTATCCAAAGTTCTGGAAAAGGTTGTTTTCATTCAGTTGCCATCTTTTTTAGAACACAACTTGTTTGAAAAATTTCAATCTGGCTTCAGACCCCGTCATAGCACTGAATCTGCACTACTCAAAGTACAGAATGATGTTTTTTTTGTCCCTTGATGCCAAAAAACCTGTTCTGGTGATGTTGGACCTCTCAGCAGCTTTTGATACTGTAGACCATCAGGTCCTGATCACTCGTTTGGCTCAGCAGGTTGGCCTTCAGGGAGTTCTGCTCGAGTGGTTTAAGTCCTATTTAACAGACAGAACTTTCTCGGTGATCTGTCTTCTTCAGTCTCTTTGACCTCTGGCGTACCACAGGGATCCATTCTGGGGCCTGTTCTCTTCTCACTTTACATGCTACCGTTAGGACCCATCATTGCACGCCATAATCTGTCTTTTCATCTGTATGCAGATGATCTACAAATCTATCTGCCGGTCAGTTCCTCACTCAGTTTAAACTCTGTTGTCAGCTGCTTAAACGACATTAAGCACTGGCTGTCTCAGAATTTCCTCCACCTAAATAACGATAAAACTGAATGGATTTTATTTGGTGCTTCCAGTAATTCATGCAACATCTCTCCCAGTCTAGGTTTTCCGCTCCCCCACGCCAACCAGGTGGTAAAAAATCTAGAAGTGGAGCTCGACTGTAACTTGAAGTTAGATAAACAGACCAGTTATGTTGTGAAAACCAGCTTCTTTCAGCTCCGTCTGCTTTCCAAAGTAAAATCACTCCTTAGCCGTTGTGATCTGGAGAAGGCCATCCATGCCTTTGTGAGCTCTAGGCTTGATTACTGTAACGCCTTATATGTCGGTATTAATCAATCTTCTATCTCCCGTTTACAGCTTGTACAAAACTCTGCTGCTCGCTTGTTGACTAACACATGTAAACATGAACACATCACTCCTGTCCTTTCTTCTTTGCACTGACTTCAGTTCAGTTCAGGATACAGTTCAAGCTGCTACTGTTTGTTTTTAAAGCTATGAATGGCCTTGCACCACTTTATATTTCAGAACTTTTGAAAGTCCACCAGCCCAGCAGAGCTTTACGGTCTGCTGGTCAAAATCTGCTGGTGGTGCCTTGCTCAAGGTGCAAACAATGGGGGGGACCGGTCCTTTTCTGTTGCAGGCCCAACAGCCTGGAATACTCTTCCCTATGAGCTGCGTGCCATCTCTGATCTGGTTCTGTTCAAAGCCAAACTGAAAACATACTTATTTAAAAAGGCTTTTAATGTTTAACTATTAGTAGTTTAGTATTTATTTATTTATTTTACCTTCTTTTATTCTCGCTGTGTTTTTAATTTGCACTGATTTATTGTGTCCTGTTTTTAATCTTGTTTTATCTTGTAAAGCACCTTGGTCAATGCAAGGCGTCATTGGAAGGTGCTATAGAATTAAAGTTTATTATATATGTTGTATATTATTTATGATATATGAAGTTGTAATTCTGATTTACTGAGTTGTTTAAGTCATAATTTAAAATGCTAAGTCATAAGAGATACTGTCATGCTAAATATTATTCATAAGATACTAAGTCATAATTATCAGATGCTAAATATTATATATGAGAAACTATCATTCATCATATGCTAAATATTATTTATGAGATAGTAAAGCATAATTAGCAGATGCTAAATATTGTTTGAGATACCAAGTTATAATTATCCGATACTAAATATTATTCATGATATACTAAGTCATAATTACCAGATGCTAAATATTATTCATGAGATACTAAGTCATAATTATCATATGCTTAATATTATTTATGAGACACTGAGTCATAATTATCAGATGCTAAATATTATTCCTGAGATACTAAGTCATGATTATCAGATATTAAATATTATATATGAGATACTAAGTTGTAATTATCAGATATTAAATATTATTCATGAGATACTAAGTCATAATTATCAGATATTAAATATTATTTATGAGATACTAAGTCATAATTATCAGATAGTATTTCATAAATAATATTTAATATCTGATAATTATGACTCAGTGTCTCATAAATAATATTAAGCATCTGATAATTATGACTTGTATCTCATGATTAATATTTAGTATCTGCTAATTATGACTTAGTATTTCATAAATAATATTTAATAAGTCATAATTAGCAGATACTAAATATTAATCATGAGATACCAAGTCATAATTATCAGATGCTTAATATTATTTATGAGACACTGAGTCATAATTATCAGATGCTAAATATTATTCATGAGATACTAAGTCATGATTATCAGATATTAAATATTATTTATGAAATACTAAGTCATAATTATCACATGCTAAATATTATTTACAATATACTGAGTCATAAATAACAGACACTAAATATTAATGAATTACTAAGTCATAATCATATGATGTTAAATATGACTTATGTGATACTGTATTATTTATGAGATACTAAGTCGTAATTCTGAGATAGTCATGTTTATGGCATGCTAAGGCATAACTTAAGATGCTAAATCATTATTATGAGACACTAATTTATAATTGAGATATTAGTAAGTCATAATTATATGATGCCAGATTCATAACTGAAACTGTATCTGGTAATTATGACCTAAGGATATTTTCACAGTGGGCTTCCAAATGTAGTAATATTATAATAAAACTGTAAAAACACTTTGCACAGACAGATGCAGTTTAACGGAACCGTGCATTTGGCATCTTGCGTGCAGATCTCATTATTATTATTTATTTATTGTTATTGTCGCATGGTCTCTGTGTTTTGAATCTCCTTTGTTCATTTTGCTCCAGCTTTCTTGGTCCTGTCCACGGTCTCTGGTGGTCTCTGGTGGTCTCTGGTGGTCTTGATCAAGTCTTCGGTCATTATCTTGTCGCTGAGCGTCTGTAAAGTTGAAGAACTGCAGTCACGCTGCTGCAGAACTGCAACAACAGAGCACGGTTTGTTCGCTTTTCCGGAAAACGAGCTCTGATTCCAACCAGCTGTTTCCCGCCTCGCACAGATCAGCTGCACACACACACGCGCGCGCGCACGTAGTAGGCGGGGGTAGGAAGCCACACACACACACTGGAGGGAACCCCATCAGCTGTGGAAAGCAACACAGCTTGATTTTACTTTTATTTTTCCTCAGATCGAACTTGAAGCGGCGCGTGCGGTTCGCGCCACGGCGATCGACACGCGCACCGTCGCATTTTGAACGCGAGCGTCAAGGAGAAGAAAACAGAAAAGCCCCGCCACGCACGGACCGACAGAAGAAGGTGGATCTGAAAGCATGGATTATTTCATGATGCCGACAGAGAAGGTGTCGTCCTTGCAGCAGTTCAAGAAGACGGAGAAGGACGTCATAGGAGGTCTCTGCAGGTGTGTAGCAGCGCGAGTGAACCGTTTACATTAAGTAAGATTTGACGCGGCTCTGGCCAGCATGTGTCTGGATGTGTGCGTGTGCATGTGTGTGGCACAGTCCGGTCCAGGTAACATGCTAGCTGTTAGCTTGGCTGCTGTGTGTTGGCAGCTGTAGCCTGGTTGTTGAACGTAGCTTCCGAGTGTCTTTACAGCTGTCGGCAGCCACAGTTTACCAGCCGAGGCGTTACTTCTGCTGTGCTAATTGTTCACGCTGCCGTGCACGGCGCGTGGATCGCCTTTAGAAATATGTAAATTAAGCGAGATGGAAGCGATACGGTCTAGAGGGAAACCAACCACGTGGTAGTGAGCATAATCGTCGCCTCACAAAACACGCTAGGAATAAGTGTCTATTTAACAACGCTTTTATATTTTTGCCCCAGAAGCTGTGACTGCTACTTTATTCGCCCTCGAATAAAATCTTTATTTGTCAAACTACGTTTCGGCTCTGGTATGTTGTCCGTTTTTAAAAAAAAAAAATTTTTTTTGTTTTGTTGCTCCGCGCAGCAGACGTCGCTGTCGTTATGCTAAAATTAGCTTAGCTCGACTGCGCACTTATTTTGCGTCTGCGTCGACTGGGATTTGGTTTCTGAGCTCGTGCTCGCTCGCGTGTTAATTTTTAAACGGTAGCCCAGTGTGTCTTATGGTGGACACACGTGTGTGTGTGTGTGTGTGTCAGCAACGGGGTCAATAACATGGCGCTAGCTTGGTGCTAACGGCGGAGAGCATTGTTCTTCTCGGTGCCAGGGGGGCCTGCTGCTGCTCGTGGTGTCATGTTTCACTGTTGCTACCGTCCAGCCTGGTGGCGCGCCCCCTAGCGACCGAAACGGGCGGAAGTATTTTCCCTCTTGCAGCTGCGTGAAAACATCTGGTTCATCTCCGCTTTATGGAATCACTGCACCTCTCAGATGTGCTGGAATGTAGAGGTTTTTCTCCATGTTGTTTCTTAATTAAAAAAAAAAGCATTCATTCATTCATTCAACCTTTTATTTTTACAGGTTAGTCTCACTGACTCATTTTCAAGAGAGACCTGCTTTAAAACAACAAAAACACAGATGAGGTATAAGGAAAGTAGCAGTTACAAGGCGTTTTCTAGCATTCAGAGTTGGACTAGATCTATTTCTGCAAAATAAACCCAATTTCAATTTCTTTATCAAGTTTTCGACATGTGGCTTAAAAGAGAGTGAATCGACCAAGATTCCCAAGTATTTGTAAGAATCGACAAACGCGAACACCATTCGTAGATAAAATAGAAGGAAGGACTGCTGGTACCAACTTCCTGTTTGAAAGCAACATCCCTTTGGTTTTAGCAGCGTTTAGCACAAGTTTGAAACGGAACAAATCTGAATGACGTTGAATGCAAGACTAGAAGCTGGAAAACCTTAGCAGTTGTTTTAGCTGTCGTCGGCATAGAAATGTACGGATGCATCAGGAATGATTACTTGTGTACATTTTAAAGAGGGTGGGTCCTAAGACTGAGCCTTGTGGTGCACCATTACAACAAACGGTACAAAATTTATCGGCCCCATTTTCCTTAATTTTGGTAAATCGGCCGATACTTGCATGAGAAACCGATTTTACAGTTTTGTTTTTAACAATTATCTAAACTTTTTTTTTTCTTTTTTTTACACTACCTCATGGACGGTTAAAACGAGTTTGTATTGTTTCTAGGATATTGATCAAGGGTATGTTTTTAAGTAAAATAATATTGGAAAATTGAAGGTGCATTGTGACCTTAACATCTGACAGTGTTGCTTATAAAACAAAATCGTATCGGCAGGTCAGACTTTTTAGAAATCGGTGATTGGCCAGAAAGCTGCAATCGTTGCACCCCTATACAAAACTACTCCAGCGGGAGATCTATAATGGCAGCACAACATTTATTAAATGGTGTGCAGCAGTCTTTATATAGAAATACACCACTTTCCAGTTTTTTGAGCTAACGTCACTTGTTCTCTGTGAAAACCCCCAAAATATCTTTAATCCAGACCGTTTGGAAGATGTGCTGAAATTTAGTGCGATTTGTAGTTGATCGTTATTCACAACACATCCCAAGTGCTAAGTGTGATGTGAGATTTTTCTTGAAAAACATTATCATCATAACAATTGGGAGACAACCATGTTTGTCTGTTAGCAAAATATCTTGTGTTGATGATGCTCAAGTTTGTAAACAGAAGCACTCGTTTTCGTGCATGCGCAGTTTGTTAGTGGGCAGAAAGTAAACCGAAAACAGTCCATGTCATTCCTTGTCATTCGCATCACATGTGGTGGAATGAAATTGTGTACACACGTGTGTGGTGTTCAAAATATATATTTTTAAATATTTTTTAAATGTATGTGGTGAAAATATATAATTTTAGTCGAGACGCGCTGCCTGATCTGACCAAACATCGACTTCATTGATATTTGTGAGTATCTGATTTTACGTCCTGGTTCACCTTCCTGGTTTGTTCTTGGGTCCAATTGTATTTATTTATTTATTTTATATCTGTACGATCTGAATTTGAACTAAATTGCATCCGTGTCTAATCTGTGAGGAGAAATAAATCTCTAAATTACTTGAAAGCTGTTAAATCTTTCATGTTTTCAATTATGCAGACATCCCCTAACAACTTTAGTCGTTTATTTACTTACCTAGAATTAGTTGGAAGCTAGTAGTTTTGTATTTAATGCCAGTTCTAAGATAATATCCGTGCAGTAAATCATTTAGGATCAATTAATAGTTAAATTCTTTAGGACAAACTTTAAGTTTTAAGTGTTTATATGCTCCTCTGGTTTGTCACATGGTAATTAAGAGAGATGTTTGCGAATCTTTCAAAGTAAGCTACGTTGCAAAGTCGTAAGTAGGCTATAATTGTAAAGATTTTTTAAATTAATCTTTTAACTTTAATTTTAGTAATGTAATGTGACTCCATATTGTGCATTCTTAAAATGAATTCCAGCCTTTTTAGTTTTCGATGTGGTCATTGGAGTACCCACCATCTTCTCTAAACAGGAACTTTTGGACGGTTTATTTTCTGCCTGACCTCTGACATTTTTCTAAATCTGTTTTTTCGAGCTTGTTGTGGTCGTCCACGGTGTTAATGGTTGACGTGTTCCCCCCCTCTGAGTAAATATGGCTGAAGGGTTTACCAGCATGACATCTGACATGGGGAGATGAAGCTTCTCGAGGGGTTGTTGGGTTCAGCCAAACTCGTGGACCTCCATGGAGCTGAACTTTAGGAATGTAAAGAGGTCGGCGCTAACAGAAGCTTCAGACGGAGGACGGGAAGTTTTTTTTTTTTTTTTTTTTTAACTCAATTACAGATTGGAACTGAGTATGTCAGCTGCAAAACAAGAATTTAACAAGTTTAACACTTAAAAACAATTATTTGTTTGCTCGAAATTATAGCAAATGTGTGTCTCAGTGTAACGTTTACTTAATAAATGCACTTTAATGGTCAAATTAGCTGCATTTCGCCGGGGCAGTGCAGCTGTTTTGACGGTTCCAAGCAACAAGCAGAATGAAGGTTTATGGCAGGCTGATTGAGTCATTAATAGCTGGTGAAGATTCTCAGTCATCCAGGACAGGGTAAATTCAAAAAAGCTCAAGACAAAAGCAACAAAGTTGTTTTTGTCTTGCCCTTTTTTGAATTTGTCATTATAGCCATGTTTACATGATACTATAGCATGCCATACAGCTATTACTACTCTGCTGCCATCAAGTGGCTGAAAGTGGTACTGCTCAATTTTTGTTTTTCAGTCAGAATGAATGAAAATGGTCATATCTCAGCCAAAAATTGTTTTATAAATATGGGGGGGAAATCCATAAATATGTCGCTTCAGCCTGTAAGTAAATTATGAAAGAAACTGTGACTTAAAGGCTGAAAAATACGGTAATATTTTGAACAAACTTTATCAACCACAACTTCCTCTGTAAAGACGAGGCTGTTGTTTTAGGCCTTAAAATGCACAGTAGGGATGAGACTTTGGGACCGAGCGGTGATCATGTGACTGCTTCTTTTTATTTCCTTCAGCCTGGCCAACATCCCCCTCAGCCCGGAGACAGCCCAGGATCAGGAGAGACGGATCCGGCGAGAAATCGCTAACAGCAACGAGCGCCGTCGCATGCAGAGCATCAACGCTGGATTTCAGTCCCTGAAAACACTCCTGCCTCACACGGACGGAGAGAAACTCAGCAAGGTGCTTCCCGTCCTGCCCACTCTGACCAAAACACGGGTCGTAAAGTCCCGGCGTATTTTACTGGGAGTTCAGCAACTGTTGTGGATTTGTTTCAAGCGTTGAAGGAACTCGTCTCTAACTTGAGCTTCTGGTTTCTCCCCTGCCAGGCAGCCATTCTTCAACAGACGGCAGATTACATTTTCACCTTGGAGCAGGAAAAAACCCAACTTCTCACACAGAACAATCAGCTGAAACGCCTCATCCAGGTAAATGAGTGCAGGATAATTGGTTACTTTTATATATAAACAGTTACACTCACCCTGAGTTACAGATTACAGTTGGTTTGAGATTTTCATTTGCTTCTGAGTACATCATTTGGAGTGGTTTCCAAGCATTGTGTTGCTTTTATTTCTTACTTTTCCGTTTGTTTAGAGAAAATAAATTGTCGATTTCATGGGGTTTTTTTTGCCTGCAATGTTTTCAGCTTTTGCAAAATGACATGTATTGTTTGAGTACTTTCATAAAACGGTTACTTCTCCTCGTATTCAGAGCTCAGTAAATATTGAATAAGTTCATTAAACTGTCGGATGAGAAGAGAACATGAATCCAAATTATCCTGATGCACGCTCAATAATCCAGGTAGAAAGATCTTAACAAACTTAAAACCAATCCTCTGGATGATTTCTTCTTGTTGAAACATTTCGTCTTTTGATCCACTATAAGGTGCTTTTTATAAGACTTGAGTTTACTGCAGCTCCACAGGCTGAAGAAGTCTCTTGGATAAAAGCAGTTCCACAGGCTGAAGAAGTCTCTTGGATAAAAGCAGCTCCACAGGCTG